ACAATTAAAATATACAAACAAATGAAAACACAACAAACTAACTCAAAACCAGAAGCAGCCATCAAAACAACCTAAAAGTGTTGAAAAAAGGTGAAATTACTGAATCCAGCCAAGTCAGACCTCTCTAGATTGGAACAACTCACTAAAAACTCATCCTTTTGACAGTAAGTAATATCCCATCCATACCACACTTCATCATCCCTCATTTGCCTCCTATTTCAGCCAGGCAACAATGTTATTTTTAATTCACACCAATTGCAAGCCTTAAGGACAAAATGTTTTTCGTTGTGCAAACGAAAAAAGTACAAATGAGAGATACAGCCTGAAATAGCTTGGCACTGACCTGCCATTTAGAAATTAAAACCTGGATATAGGAACTTAAAAGTGCTGCCAGTAGCATTGGCAATGTCACCTCAGAACAGAGAATAATTTAAATATTTGTCCACTGTAAATTCTTTTTTTCAAATGTATGCAGGCCTTGAGTTCAGAGTTTTTCCACATGCTAGCAGCTATTTGTGGTTAGATACATTGAGAAGCTTTGAACAGCTCATTATCAATTACTTTTCCATAATCTATCTACACATTTGCAATTATCCACAACTTCTTTTTTCCCCCCGTGTCCTTGTTCTTGCATTGTACTAAAAACTATTCAGCAGTTACACCTAAGAAGTGAATCTGGGATTGACAAATCACAATTCAACTTTATCCATATTCAGAATTAAAAGTTATAATTGTGGTGAGTGTTCACAGATGTGCAGCCTTACACAGGCTAAAGAGCAGGATTTTCAGTAAAAAATATATTTCACCAATAATCACAAAGGTTTCAAGTACTACCATTGAAACTGTGAAATCTCTGCAGACTCACAAATTATCTAAAATAAACCATCATTGCCTAAGCACTGGGAAAAAGTGTGAATTCCTTTCAGAGCAGTCACAAAGTTAAGAATCTGTTATAAATTTCACTAACTATATGGCTGTTTGCTGGAAAAAAATTAATGCAAACAATTAAAAGACGACTATTTAAATTATCTCTGGAGAGATCAAGCAGACAGAATTGTGACTGCCCCATTCCACAACAGAGAAAAAAGTCCGTGGATCCTCTTAGTTCACCACCATTCAGCCTCTGACAAATTCCTGTCTCTGGGTGACAGGAAAGAGAAATTTGGAATTGTACACCCTCTATCTTAGGGATCTACTCCAGCACTTGTGGAACAGCCCCAGCTCTGCTGCAGGAAGTACCCTGGTGGAAAGGTTTTCCCCTAAAAAGATAATTTGTAGCCACTGAAAATTTTGTATTTCATCTCATTTTGTCCCTTTTTTGTAGTCAAAACCTTTCTATGGTTCTCCTTTAAGGATGCTTCCTTCAGTGCCTGGTAAAGAGTCAATCTCATGAGCAAATAAACCCATGGAAGAAACCCCAAAAGGAACCTTACACAGTATTGTATCGCCGTAACTTGCAGTTCCAAAGTAGTTTATTCCCCACTTTTCCTGTTTTGATGCCAGCACACAGGTAACTAAAGCATAACTGTAACATGAACTGCTTGGTTTCCCAAAAACGAAGCCACAGTACAGGTGTATATATGGGGAGGGGATTAGTTAATTGAAAAATGAGAGTAGTTTCCAGTAAGAGCACATGGAAGGACTAAAGAACACAAAGATCAGCTGCCAAAGCAGAAAACCTAGCACTGAAACATTACCACGAACTCAAGTGATGAATAATGGAAAGAAGTGTTTGTTCAATTAAAAACTCCATGTGTTCAGGCATTAGTATCCCTAGGGAGTGTTGTTCAGTCAACTCAGGGTCAGAGAATTTGAATTTCACATTTTCATTTATTTGTCTCAATTAAAATAAGTAAGGTGAGTCTGTCAGCACCTGTTGTTTTATATTTTTAACACTTAGCATTGCTTCAGCTATACCAAATATATCCCACTTTGGAAGTGGTGGCTTCCTAAGAATACTCCTCAAGAAGAATCAAATTTTTATTGCTGGCAAAATACACTTTTGCACTGTGTTTGGTTGGTTAAGACTAAAGTAAAATCTAAAATTACCATAATAATTAGTATTTGCTATATATAATTGAATTTTTCTTTGCAATTAATTTGTAACCTTGAATAATTCAGATAATTTTTGGTAAATCATTAGAAAGTCAAACTTCAGTTAACAGTCATCCAATTATTTCCATATCATGCCCTAACAGAATTGAACCATTATGATTAAGTTCATAAAAGGTTCCTTGTCATGATTGTTTGCTCCTATGTGAAAAACCCCCACCACAAAGTCCTGATACCACCTGTATATATTACACATTTGCTAAATTTAGCACAACTCGTATCTTGGGCTGACATTCAGAGAACACAGAGTATGAACATGCCACTTTTAATTGTTGTTTACCAGAATCCTGTGCAGCACTTCCTCCTTCTAACCTGAAACTTGGTATTGAGGCTGGTGCAAATGAATTAGCAAAGCCAACAGCTCATATCAGAGCCATTTCTGATCTGCATTGCCAAATTACTGATTTTAATTGATTCATTATGCCTAAAGATACAGAACAACATGTGAATGATGCTGCTATTTCAGGATTTTGAGAGGGAGATCTTGAAAAGTAGATTTAAAACAAGGACTGAGAGACTGTTTACATAATAAATTTAGAAAAGATTGCTATATTCCCATTAAAATTATCCCATTAAAAATGTACAGAACACACAAATACCTGGGAATCTCTTGCAGTCAATGCCACTTTCCCCCCTACTGACTTCAGAAAAGGAAGACGGTCGCAAATTACTGAAAAATTCCCTATTAATATGCCTCTGAACTAACTGGAGACATTTGGGTATACATTTAACAGGTATGGATATTTTCAATCCAGTTGGGAACACTTCTCAGACACTTTGGCTCTGAAACAATGCTTTTTAAAGAAAATGCAATGGATAGGGAATACTGAGAGAGCCACAGACAAAGAGAGAGAAGAACAAACCTGACATATATTGAAATAATTGAAATGTTGCCAGTTAGGAAAGCAGGTAAATGAGATTTAGACAGCTGAAAATAACCTATGATTTTTAACATCAGCAGTAAAACTGATCAAAGACTGGTTTTATTCCCATTCTTGCTGCTTTGCAAAATGATGAGCAATGACAATGACAGAATAGCCTTCCTTATGCCACTTAATATTTTGTGAATATCTGCACAAATATAAAAACAAAGACTTACTCTTTAAATTCTGTGACAGATAAGCCATATTTGCCATGAAGTGCTCATTCCCCACTGAGCCCCACTGGGGTATAAAAAGTTTGACACCATGTGTAAATAGGATAAATATATTCAAGTATCAGCAAGTATTGCCCAATACCCAATTATTTTTCAGAACAGACTTCAAAATGCAAAATTATTATTCTGATGGTTCCTTTTCTTGCAGAAGAAAGAAATGGTTCTCTCCTGAGTATGTCACAGATTATGGCTGTACAAAGCACTGACAGAATGGTGCAAAACACTTTCAAGACTCAGATTTGCAACTGCAGCAGGGGAATGGGAGGGGGAAAAGGGCTTTGGGTTGGGGTTAGGACCCAAAAGATATGAAAATTTTATAAATCTAGATCAGGTCTTATCAGGTTAAGATAGAGTTGCTTTTACTCCTCCCCACCTAGTCTCTGGTTCTCTGAAAAGAAGCTCAATGTAAATTTTAAAAATTCTCCTCTCAGAGAGTTACTAATATTCAGGTATTTTTAAATTTAATGGGTATTAAAGATTTTTCTCATGATTTACTAATAAGCAACAACTCTTTTAAACTCTGAATTTGTTATTCATGTCTCAGCCAAGAAGCAAAGCCTCAAAATGGAACATTATGGCTGTCTGAAAGATGTCTATCAATACACACATCATGGTTCAGTTCACAACTCTCAACAGTCACACTGAAAAAATCCCATTGTACAAATGCATTCCCAGCTGTCCACACATACATCTCCACCAGCTCTGGCACAAACGTGGCCACCCGGAACAGGAGGAACACTTCCACACATGGTTTACACACTGCAGAGTGAGAACTACTGGAATTAAATTGTGCCCTTTAGTTATGAAAGCAACTCATGCAGTTCAGCTTGCCTTGGGCATGACATTCACAAAGTAATGTAAGACAAATGTATTCTGAAAACCATCAGGGAAAAAAGTAGCACAAAAATTTAGCTTCACTGTAGAAGATTAAATAGACAACAACTTAGGAAAATTATTTCAAAACATGCAGAAGCTCTATTAGATTAGAATTTTCTAAAGTAGTAATTTGTAATTCTTGGGGTAAATAGGTAAGAATATGCAAAAACTTGTGGCTTTGGGTACTCCATTTCACTTTGGAGGTCCTGCTCAGCAGATCAGATGACCAATTGAATAAACCAGTGGAGTCAATGCACTGCAGAAAGCATTTCTGGTAGACTTTGGCTGCTCATGGACAGTTCTAGTATATGACTCACTTGCATAATGGACAGGAATTCATTCAGCATTAAAGTTTCAGAGAAAATCCTTATCCCATTAAGAGAGAAACCTTTTGACCTTATGTACAGAATTATGCTGGCTTCCAATAATGGCACTGTCAACATTGTATCTTTGCAATGAGTGTATTTTGATAATTAATGCCAGTGAGATCAGACAACAAAGTGAATTTCATTTTCTGATTACATTGTATAGTGCTTTTAATGCTCTCTATTATCCAAGGTTGCTGTGCAGCTTGCCTAACACCATCCAATCTGAGAAATTCTTGAGCAAAATAGCAGAGTCATTTTTGGAAAGGATGGGTACAGACTCTCTCTTCCCCATTTGCTGTAAAGCCAGTGTTGAATCACAGCAGACAGCCTCAGCAGCCACCATGATATCATTGCTCACAACCATTACTACAGAAAAAAAGCACATATTCTCAAGTAATTTCAAAACTATTATGGACAGTGGAAGAGAATATGACAGCATATGACTTCTCTTAAAAATAAAAAAGAAAAATTGAACAATGTTTTCTTACCATGACAGGAGCCCTCCAACTCTTCATATCCCACACTGCAGATGCATCGTCCCAGAGGCACCAGCCAATCCCCATCTGCCCCACAATACAATTTTGGGGTGTCACGTTCCTCAGCGCTCTTCACGCAGGAGCCCCGTACTTCCACCAGCGAGGAAGAATCCACCCTTGGAATGGTGTCAGGAAACATGGCCAAATTACGGACCGTGAATGGGCATTTCTTGTAATAGACACGGACTGACACCAAAGCAATGCATGCTCCAATGTCCTGGAAAGCAAGATAAAATCCCTTCTTGTTGATGGGCCCAACTTCACGAACTTCCGTGTTGAGCTTGAGGATGCGGTCGCCCAAGTCCATCTGGGTAAAGCTCTCGTCAGCAGCTATGGTATCAATTTTGGTGTACTGGTTTGGCTTGAATTTTACTCCATGAGGCTCATCTGACTCCATGTAGTAGAGATTGAACGTTTCCTTGCAGGTCCCCAGCACCCAGGGAATGCTGTTGCAGTCCCTCAGGGTGAACTTCATCTCCACGTAGATTTTCTGCGCGGCGTCGCGGGAGACCCAGTTGGTTTGCAGCCAGTTGTTCTGGTTGGGTTCCATCACGTTGCACACCTGGTAAGTGTGGATGGGACGGTTGTGTTCATCCATTTCAGTTATGGCATCCCACTGAAAAGAAAATAAAAGTGTTTCAAAACCAGGAAAAATATGTATTATGCATGCATACACACACACACGTGCCCCATGTATATGCAACTATGGCTTAATTACAAATAATTACGTCAAGTTTAGTTGAAAATCAGTAGTTAAAAGAAGATAACTACAGAACATCACAGAAGTCTAATTTCAGAAACCACAATAAATTTCTATTAACAAAAACATTAAAAAATTGTGGGGTCTAGCAAAGTATGATATACAGGCCATGTTTGTATTTTATAGATATACATCTCTACATATACCTTATATCAAAGGCTCACCAAATGCTTATTATATAATCTGCTACTCCAAAAGATTACCAACATCACAAAAATAGCTTCAATATAACTGAATCAACTTTCTATTGAGCAGTCATGATATCAATATACCATTCGAGATTTTTTTTTATCAAAACACAGAACTATTTATAGTTCTGTATTCAAAAATATTGTATCCCACCACAAGTTTTAGCTTAGCTTTTAGATGTACTGATCCACTGGGGCAGAAGCAGCAGGAAGAAACCTCAAAATAAGAACCAAAACCAACCAACATTAAAGTCACATTAAAAGGAAGATGAGATGCTCCACAGAGGTCTCAAAAAGAAAAAAAGAACTAAAAAAAGCCACCAAACAACTCCAGCACACCAAACAGAATTAAAATTGGCTATTTAAAAAAAACAACAATGTTGTTTTTAAAATATAGAAGAGCTTTCCAAACTGGCATAGGCCAACTTAATTTAAAAGCCACAATATGATACTGTCACTTAAAATTATTGAGAAAAAAATATCCAAAATATCCTCGTCTTACCAGGGAATTCTCCTCAGAAATATTTATATGTTCACTCTGAATCAATATCTCAATTTGAACTAAGAAGTTAAAGCCCTAAAGTCAGCTGTTAACCATGAAGTTAATAGTATAAATCTGTTACTTCCATAGGAAAGTAAAGGGCCAGAACTTCAATCAGTGATTTCAAAGAATAAAACAAAATGGATTGATCAAACATGGACAGGGCTTTAGTCCACTCAAAGCAGATCTCTCATGCTTTGTGCCTGTGCCTTTCGACTCTGCTCCCAGACAACCTGCTGAGATCTCCCATTTTAGAGGGATTTACCTTTGGGCAAGAAAAATGTTTAAAATCTGCAAAAAATTTTAACAGAGCTAGTAGTCTAAACATCACACATATAAAATACTTGGAAAAAGGTTAACATTGAACATCTCATCCCAGCCATTGCACTGGGCCATGCAGTGAGGTATGGTTACAGATATAGAATGCGCTCTTAGGTACCAGTCCTAGAACAGAGTAGAAACAAGGTGACTTCCACAAGCCCAAAATTTTCAGTGACTGAAAAGTGTGACAGAACACACTCTGATAGTGGACACAGTCTCCCTGCATGAAATACAATCTACTTTTCATTTTACCTTGCAGTTGCATTTCTCATCTGATAAAAAAACAGTCAGGAAAGGCAGCAGTTGAATTCAGTGCAGTCAAAAAAACCCAAAATTTATCAAACACACAGAGGTTTTCTTTTGGATGCATTTCACATTATAGTTCTCATTTGATCATTTTTTTTTCTTTTTTAATCAAATTTAGTTCTCATTAAATGAAGTTTCAGTTGTGCAAAAATTCAAAATCAGATGAACCAGAAGCATCTCACTGGTGATGTCTGCACAGGAATGTGGCGACTCCCACAAAAATCCCTGACCTGACACCCACAAAAGCTGCCACGAGTTGTCTGGCTTAGATAAGCTGACAGTTCAGACCATCTTCAAACTTCACCCATCCCAACGTGTTGCTTGACCTTCAAAACTTTTTGCTTATGGTCCTTTCAAACAAGGGAAACCTCTGCTAATGTTGATGGAAGCAGCAGCAGCATAAAGCTAATTGTTACACCTAGAGTTGCAGGATGTATGGAAAAGCATGTTAAAAGCATTATTTGGAGGAAAGACTTCAAAATTCTAGTTGCAAAATGGAATAAAAATCAGCATGGCTAAGTGCTTACATTTTATACGCAGCATAAAGGAGGAGTAAATAATTAAAATAGAAGATCATAGAATTTGAAGTTTGGTGGAGAGAAGATTACAAGATTACTCGTTATATCCAAGTACAAAATATGAGATTAGGCTACAAATCACACTGGGATTTTCTTTAGATAAAGTCTCAGCTGTTTCCATACCTCTACAAACTACTTTACTACCTCTCATTTTTAAATTTCACTAATATCTGACAGCTCTACAGAGAACACTGCTAAGAGAAAATCATGTAACTTGAAGCTATATAATACTGAAATCTATTTTCATGGATTCCAAATTTTTTAATTATATTTTAAAACAAAACACTGGAAACTTAAGAAAAAACAGCAAGAACCTTTTAGTAGACATCACTACTGAATGCTTTTCCAATAAATAAGGGTAGCTATATCAAGCAGTTGAAAATATCTACTTCTTAATGAGCTGATATCAGAGTAAACTTCACATGTAGTGAAAGACACCTCTCCCACAAGCTGTCACACTGATTGATGGATTAATATTGGGTTCTTAATCTCAGATAACAGTTATTAAGGCACTGAGCCCAGCAGCAATTTGGTAACCTGGGATGGCAATTTTAGAATCCTGCATACCTCCAGATTCTTTATTGATATTTTCCCTCATTTTAAGAAAAAAAAGGGCATAAGTAACCAATGCTCTCACTCACCAGTTTATGGAAGAAAACATCTGCTCTTAAAAATGCAGCAAAATTTGTATTCTAAGCAAGAAATCCTTATCATTTTACTCTAAGGATAATTCTCTAAAAATGAAGGATTCTGCACCTGCACATTCCTAACCAGTGTATCTGAGCTCACCCCTGAACAAGGGAAGGTTGTAGCTGACTTAATATGAACACATTTAGGTATCAGGCACACAATGGCACCCCTGGGTAAGATATGCTACACAAACCACTTGTTGAGCAAAACACTGGCTTTCCATGCAGAGAACTGAAGGAAGAAGTAGTGCCTGAAAATAACATGCGATGGGAAACTGGGGAGCAAAACCTGTTGACTTCAGCCATTCTGCGTTTTCCTATCTGCTAAGAAGACACAACTGTTAAAGCAAATCCTCAGTGGTAATAAGTTTTATTCTTACCTGGGAACAAGAGGAAGGTTTCCATTCTAAACTGAGGAACAAACATATAAGGTTCATGCCAGAGAGATCTGGCTTACTCTCTTGGCTTCTGCAAGCGAGGTAATTTCAGAAATGGAATTGTCAGCTATTTCTTACACACAAACATAGGCTGACATTTGGAAATTCAGTGAACCTGAACTGTAGAAATGCAATTTTCTGACATATATATCCCTCATTGCCCACAAACATCCACTTGAGAGAGTTCAGGTCACAGTTAAAAAGTCCATCAAAGGGATGGACTATGTTTGTTGTACAGAACTGCTACTATCCTGAAAAAGAGTCTGAGGAAAGCTGCAAGCGCATCCATTCAACTCATGTACCCCAAAAAGAGTTAAATAAGCATTTTGTTACTTACCACATCCAATGAGGACAAAAAGAAGGCATACAGTGTTTTTGTTGAATTGGTCCTTTTTTTTACCCCACTAAATGATTTACTACTTATTTAGGTCATCCCAGATTTCAGCTGGGAGTCATCTAATGAAATCTACACATATGGAACACACTCAGCTGTTCACTCCTGACAATCTTATAGATTCCCATTTCCATGGAAACAAGCAGAATAGTTAAAATAAAGAGAGTTTTAAAGTTTTCTAAAATTCCCTTATACTAATCTCTAGTGATATGATGTTCTCAAAATGAGATCAAAAAGGCCCAAAGGAGGAAACACCAGAGGAGGACTTGCACTAGGCATGCAACTGCCATCTGACAATGCACATTTACACATCTTGCTGCTGTAGTGACATTCAGGCAAAACCAGCTACACACTACATAACAGAACTGAAGAAAAAAAACTTATCTCAAAGTAATGTGCTTAGGAAATGAACATTTTAAGGCATAGTTGGCATTTATGATGACATTTAAATATTCTTTAATCTCACTGTTTTCAAAGAGCTACAAAATTGCTCTAAGTTAAAGGTATCAAGGTAATATTTCTCTCCTTTCCCACTAACTCATTTTTCTTTGCCTTCACTTTTCCCAAGATCTACAGTTCTGTGTGTGAAAACAGGGGCTCAGATCCCCAAAGATGAGTGATAACACTGAACTCCCAAAATATGGCTATTTGAAAAAAGCAGAAAACAGCCAAATTCCCCAGCTATTTGTATGTCTTAGCAAGTACAAGTTGACATAGCTGGCAAAACAGAACAGCAACTGAACTACTTATGTTCTTACATTTAAAGCTGAGGTGGTTTAAAGTTGTTTAGGGAATGAATAGTGATATGTAGCACAATTTTATTAGCTCTGTAGAACTAAAATGACAATCACAATGCAGGATTAGAGGAAATTGTGACATCTGTTTTCTATTCAGGCAAAGAATATGAGAGTAACAGGGCAAACCCCTAAAAATCTGTGGAAGTAAACATGATTAAAAGGAAATAAAATCAAAATTGAATAAATAAAGAACAGTTAGGGCAATATAAATGAGAGAACACAGGAGAGAAAGTTGTTAATGCACTCAAAATAGAAATCCAAAAGTGAGCTGCTTTTCTCTTATTTACATGAAGCACTGAACAACTGATGAGCTGGTCCAGGTGATGCAGCTCTGCTCTGAAAACTCTTCTGGTTCATATAAATGCTTTCTACAGGCAAGCAAGACCCAGATTTGGTGAGATTTGGGGGATGAACCCTGAAATTCAAGCGAGACCAACTTCAGATACATGAAACAATTGACTCTCACTTGGGGATTAGCCGGCATAGGACTTTGGGATCAGCAGGCAAAATAAGACAGCCCTGCTCCGAGACCAACTTCAGATACATGAAACAATTGACTCTCACTTGGGGATTAGCCAGCATAGGACTTTGGATCAGCAGGCAAA